GGAAGCAGCACAAGCTGCAAATCCTGCAGCCCGGCTTGGAGATCGTCCAAGTTCAAGCTGTCCGTCAGTTCAGAGCCATCTGCCCACAGCAGTCTCTGCCGGAACCTAGGCTGCCTGCAAAGCTGATGCAGGTGCCGCTTCATGGCCCTCACAGGCAGGCCATCTGCTTCTGCCATCTGGACGAGCTCCGCCTTTGAGATTGAAGTCAGTTCTTCGCCAGAAGCCTTCCACACCCGCAGCATCAGGATGCGTAGCAACGACAGATGCGACGCTTCGAGTAACCCCGACCCAGTCCAGCCCGGGTCCATGAGCCCGAGCTGCTTCCAACAGCAAAATCCGAGGAGTCGGGAAAGCTACATTTACACATTTACAGGGTATGTCTGCTAGTTTGCGGGCACATACTTTTCAACTGCAATCTGCGCAGAAGTTGAAAACCCAAGCGCGATTGGGATCCTTACCAAACATTTAACCGCATGTCCTTACTGCCCTACCCACTTAGCGCTAAGTCTCACACCGTCCTCAGGCCAGCGAGACGAGACACTGTGGCATCGGCGCGGCCTCCGTCTGAACCAAAGTCTCTCGGGGCCTTACAGCACTGGCTCAGGTTCAAGGTTTTAGGGTCTAGGGTATAGGGCATGTCTTGCAGGGCTTCATTACTTTTTTGTAGGGCTCCAGCTTTTTAAAGGATTTGGAGGGGGTTCAACGAAGCTCCGGTTTTAGGGTTCAAAATCTAGGTGTTTAGAGTCGAGGGGTTTGGGAATGAGGGTGTGGAGTTAAGTTTCAGGGCCTGGGCCTTAGGATTTAGTGATTCAGGGTGAATGATTTAGGATTTACAGAGCTTCCTTGGGCTTTAGGGATGTAGGATATAGGATTTGAGGGTTTAGTCAGCTTCAGGACCAAGCGGTTTCAGTTAAGGGCTCGTGTTTCTATGGGCTGTGTGTACTTTGGCTCAATGAGATAACTCCCTTCGCGAGAAAAAAAACCCTAGACCTTAAATCCCCACCCGAGCCCTACATATACCGTGATCCCCTAAATATAATTTTAAACAAACTCGATCTATAGCTCGCTGCTGTCGTTTGATGCCGGTGTGTGTGTGTGTGTGTACTCACGTGTGTGTGTTGTGTGTGGCAGGAATTTTGCCCGAGACATTTTTAGCAACAGCTTAATTCTGTGTCCCATCGATGCGGCGGGGCTTCTTGCTTTCGAAGAATAACTCGATGGCTGGTTCGGAGGCGAACGCTGGCGGATCTAAGACTTCGGGTGCCGAGGAATTCTCGGGTGCAGCATCCAATGAAGCCGGTGCTGCAGAGCCTCGGATGACAAAAGTGCAGTTCCAGGAGGACACGGACGTGCGCATCAGTGTCAACGATCGAGGCGAATTGGTCATTCAGACTAAGCCTTCGTCTTAGGAAGCTCACTTTCGATGATTCGACATCAATTTTGAGTGATCGACGCACGAGGTTTGCAAAAATAACCGGTGGTGTCTGCCTTATGCCTCAAGTATGATCCAGTCGGCAAATGATCATATTCATCCCAGCTGGCTGCTGCAGTTTTTGGGTGTTCGGTGCCCTTCCCCTTGGCTTTAAAAGATCCCAAGCACGAACACCCCAAACCAGAAACTGTAAATTAACCTTGCTGGGGTCCTTCTGAGGGAGCTTTGATTCAAGTCGGCAGTATCATGCAGTCTGCAATGCTCGGTGCTGTCAGGTCTGAGCTGCATGCATGATATGTTGCTGTGCATGTGCAATTGATCGAGTGCTGTTCATGTCATTTAAAGCTTTCTCGCGATGGCCGTTGGGTGCCATGGGCATCTCAAAGAAGAGGAAGCTTCTCCAAGGACCGAGCTCAGTGCACCCTGCATGCATTGCCTGCAGATGCTGTGTACGTTGCATGGTGTGCAGCGGTTTTATGAGCGAGTGCTGCGGCAACTATAGATCAAAAACCTAGATGATCGACGTGCAAGAGACATCGCAGTGTGCATGACATATGCATGCAAGCTATAAAGACATCGCAATTTGCCTTATAAGCTTCTGATTATATAGATTCCGAGGGTTGCTTTTAGATATATACATATGGGGCCAAACATTGGGCTCCCATGCACTGCGAGTCCTATTATGCACGCAGGCCGGAGCAGCTTGCATTGCTTTTGCACCGCCATGCAGGTCTGCTCCGAGGCCTGCGACAATGTGCCGCTGGACGTGCAAGCACAGCTGGTGGGGAATAATCCGAAAGATCTATTTGGTCGTGCGGCCGAGCAGAAACCCTCGAGAGCTACGTTGATAAACTTTCGGTGGCTCCTGATGCCTCTGCTGCGGGCCGAACCGCGGGTGCTGCTCAGCTGGTCGAGCTTTTTGGGCCTCGTGACGTTGCTTTTGCAGAAGCTACTTCATCCATGTCATGTTCCCGGGCCTGCCGTTCGGGAAGCTTTGGCTGTGGATGTGAAAGCCCTTCTGAGCAGCTTGAGAAAGCTGAGACGGGACTGGAAATATAGTGCCAAAGCACAGCAGCGAGATTGGCCTATGGTGGCTGAGACTGAGAGCCTTCTGCCGCTCAAAGAATTACTGGCCATGGTCGAGGACATAGACGAGGATTTGCCGGACGACGCCGAGGTCGAGGCTAAGAGAAGAAAAGTCCTCGAGGTTTTGAAGGGCCGCACCATCGAGATCCTCGACGACGAGCCCTCCACCGGAGCTTCATGTACGGCCCAGGTGGGCAACACTCTAGTTCCTGATTATGTATACAGACCGAAGTCGATTTCCAGGTTTCAGCTGCAGGAGTTGAAGGTGTACATCAGGCTGCATACTCGGACCTAGCTACACATGCGATTGTTGGTCTCTGCGATGGAGCTCCCTGCAAGTTTCGCAAGGATCGGGCCGTGAAGCTGCTCAGGGAGCTCCCTTGGAAGAGGCTGCATGTATATGGGAAGCACGAGCATATTCTAAAACTCGAAAAGCCCAGACCCCAGCTCCAGAACCCGATCGATCCCGTGCAGGAGAAGAAAGTGGTGCCCAAGTCGGCCATGCAGAAGTTGAAGGCCGCTGGTGGTTCGGGTTTCTCGCTTCTGTTTTCATGCATGCAGTGCAGGCTCAGCTTCGTGCGAATCACAGGAAGAAGCAGGCATGTGCATTGTTGTCAACATTATAATTTGCATATGACATATAATAGACATAACTGATAATTGGCCAGGAAGCTGCATGGGCTGCACTGCAAAAGACCAAGCCGAGATCGGACGACAAGGCCTCGATTCTCTGGCTCAGTCTTGGTTTTATTTGCATTTAAAGCTTGGGATTCGCAGCTTTTGCCACGCAGGATCGGACTTCGGAGCTGGAGGACGTTAAGACGACATCGGAGGAGATCATGTTTTTTGACTTTTTTTCATACGGCTCCTGATTGCACGATCTATATAGCCCTGTTGCAGGACCAGCCAAAGTTGGATCCTGGATTGCACACCGAGGCCTCGACTCTCTGGCTCATGCATGCATGGTGTTATGTGCAAAAGCTTGGGATTCGCGGCTTTTGCCACGCAGGTTCGGACTTTGGAGCCCGAGGAAGTTAACATGACATCGGAGGAGGCGGAATCTTGGTTGACTTTTTTCATACGGCTCCTGATTGAACTAGCCCTCTTGCAGGACCTGCCGCATTTGCGGCCTGGATTGGAGACCCAGGCCTCGACTGTCTGGCTCATGCATGGTGTTATGTGCAAATTGCTTGGGGTTCGCAGCTTTTGCCACGCAGGTTCGGACTTTGGAGGGATGGGGTGAAGATGGCATCGGAGGAGGCGGGGATCGACCCTGTAGATGATGCGGCGACGATGGCCTGAGGGGACTCCACCTTCAACGCCCGCTCGAGCTCATCCTCGCCCTCAGAGTCCTCTCGACAAGACTTTGCGCGGCGAGTGGGTCAAAACTGCGGCCGACATGAACTGTAAGGAACAGCCGAAACACCCCCAGCCCCGAACCGCTCCCGAACCTCCCCTGCCCGCGATCGGAGGTGTGCCCCACCATGGGCATCCGCCGCATGCTCCGCCCGGCCGACGCCGGTGCGCCGGGCGAGTGAACCTATCTTGCCGGCTGCTTGCCATGCTGTTAAAGTGTTGCTTGCTAGCCTTCTAACCGCACCGTGGTTGCACGGTCATCTCCAATAA